TTTCATTGCTCAAAAACACGCGTGCAGCCTCGAGTTCGGCCCCCGATTGTATATCTCAAAAACCGGTGGATGTACCGCGGATGGAATTTCATCGTCCATTAAGTCGAACTTCCTTCGAAATTCGGAATTATTCCGGGAGCTCGCTCGAGCGTAATTGCCTACGCGCGTATCCCCATTTCGTCCATTTTTCGTTTCCCCTGGCGGGGAATAAGATGGCGGAACACGGTGGGACAAGTGGCGCCCTCCTGGGCCAGAGAAAAGAAAGAGAGAGAGAGAGAGAGAGAGACTTTCTCCAGCGCAGTTAAGATGACAGATCGAACGGAATCGCGTGCAACGACGATGCGGAGAACAAGTAGAGTGGAAAGCGCGAGTAGAGGCGCAATCGGGGGCAAGCCGTGATTTAATGGAACGCGACTGGCAACGATCTTATCCGGCCGAAAACTCGTTTTCCTAGGGGAGACGCCGCCCGATTGCGGCTCGAGAGAATCCGGAAACGTTCGATCCGGAACGATAAATTATTCCGTCGTCAACTTTCGCCCCTCCCCTTCTGTTCCGTGAGACGAATCGCTTGGGCAAAGGGATCTTTTCCATTTGGATATGTCCTGGGTTGGATTCAGTGGTATAGGGAATTTTTTTTTTTAATATTGGAAGAATAGCAGTAGCAATGTTAATCGTCGATTTTTCTGATCTTTGAATTTCTTTCACAAGTTTGGGAAAGGATTTCTTGATTTTATGGGTTCTTTGTATACGTCATTGGTAAGATAAATGTTATTTCGCGAGATAAATATTAGAATCTGGAGTAATTTAATCGATCGATGGAGTTTATATATTCTTGATTGTGGAGAATACGGTTTTACGGGTTTGGAAAGGAAATTTTTCAACCGTTCAAACGGAGAGGAAATTTTCTATTTTCGAGATTCTTTTGAAAGAGGTCGCAGCGGATTGCTGGTCCTCGAGCAGGAATTAATTCGAAAGTTTCGCGATCGATCGACAAACTGCTTTCTATCGCGTTCCACCCAATTTCTCGTGGCATTACGTCACGAAATAAGGGAAACAGGGAACCGACGTATATTTAACCAACGTACGGCCGTCTAATACGGTAATGGACCCAGAGACAAAGCCACTCGTTAACTTTCGACATTTTATCGCGAAATATCCCCAGCAACCCTTAGTCGCCAATTTCTCTCTCGGGTCATCGCGTAACTTCTGTGATATTTTCAAAGCTTTACAGCGACCTCGATGTACCACCAAGTCTCGAAACTTGATCTTTTATCTTTGAAGATTGAAGATATCTTCTCTCCTATTTCTGTTACAATTTTTTTTTTTTTCATTTATATAAGCGTCGAGAAAGAATAATAAATTACAATCGTTATCTGTAGAACGTGCTATTTGATTTGAATGCAAATGCAAACGAGATCGATGTAATACAAAACCTTTCTTTATTCAAGAATGTATGAAAAAAAAAAATCAAATTCATTTGTTTAAATATCTCTTGAAATATTCTCGACGGAATCAATTTACGTATTCACGAAAATAATTAAAATGATTTAGATTATTTAGCTTCATATAACGTATAGTGTCTCGTCCATTTATCTTCTATATTAACTTTGTTCGAATAAATAACAGGAACACGAAGAACATATGGATAACATCCATTAATAATAAGTGAAGTCAAAATTTCAGTAGCGAGGCTCCGTTAAATAACTCCGGCCAATTATCCCGTGACACTAACGAGTCAACGACAAGTCAGACAGCTGAATTCCATCCGAAACTCTTTCTCTCGTCCGTGTATTTTTCCTCGAGGACGAGGAAGGGGATTATTGTCTCCATTTCAAGCTTGATATCATGAATTTTTAAATACATATTCTCCAACCACTAATCTCCTCCTCCTTTTATTGCGCCGACGAAGAAAACAAGATACGTGCAATTACGTAATTGCGTACAATATTATTTTGTATTATCTTTCGTTAATTAAACGAATTATTTATATTATCTTGTAGACAAATTCTAATAATATTTATTTTTCCCGTAGATTTATAAAGAACGTATATAATCTATATTCCTTATATTTTCAAAACAATGCTTGAACGATTAAACAAATATAAAAAAAAAAAAAAACTCAAATTCTATTTCAAATTATTCGCTCCAACACAACAATTCATTCCGTAATCGGAATAATCAAGTAAAATTTTCACGATATTACAAAAGGAAACAAAGAAAGGAGAGAAAGAGAGAGAGAAAAAAAAATGAACCCATTACTCAACTTAATAATTTACAAGTCTCGCTAATGAGAGGTGTGTATATTTTCCGCGTCACACCCAGAATTCCTCAGTTTGTAGAGCGGCCCTGTTTGCGGATTCTCTGTACAAAGGTGCGCCACGACGCCGGATTATTCGCAAACAAACGGAGAAGAGGCAGGGAGGGGGGAGCCCTCCACAACGCTTGTTTCTCCTTCCTTCGCTGTCATCGATCATCCGCCATTGTTATCGCGTTCCACCTCTTCTTCTCCCGAGTGAAAACGATTCTTCGCGTTGCGCCGTTGCGAAAACACAAGCGAAACGAAACGAATGTTTCCGCGAGCTAAAAGCTAGTTTCCATACTAGAGATGTTGCCGCATGAAATTTTAGGTTAGAGGGGAAGAGGTGGTTGTTGCGGGGCTTTTGAATGATTGAGAAAGTTGCCTTTTAAACGCCGCGATGCGTTGAGGCAAGGTTTTTCGGATCGTTTGTTGGATTTATCTCCTGGAATTTTTTTTATTTTTATTTTTTGGAGGAGGAGGAGGAGAAGGATGAGGGATCGTTGTTTGTGCCGCTATTTTTTTTTTTTTTTTATACCAGGAATTCCTGTTTTTTACACCGCTTTGTTTTCACAATTGGGAACACCTCTTCTTTAGCTTCGGTTCGCTACTTTTTTTTTTTTTTTTTTTAATTAATCGGATTTTTTTTTAGCTCGTTCATTGGACGATTATTGAGTTGTATTTTTTTTTTTTTTTTTCAAATGTTCTTTAGATGTTTGCTTTCCTCTTGTTTATACTCGGCAATCGATATGTTTTCGAACGGCATTAACAACGAAGCAAGTTTCCACGTAGCTATTGCTATTAAATTTCAATTGTACAATCTCTACAATTATTAGATAAATTTAAAAATCCCTGTGAAAAAGTTTTCTTTGATTGGATTTTTTTTTTTATTCTGAAAATAGCAATCGTGATTTTAAACAAAAAGACAAACTTCAATATTTCTATTTCTACTTTTAATTCTTTGAAAGAAGAATCTTTCTCAAAAATGTATATTTCGTGAATTCATAATTCAAAATCCACAATCCATTATCCAATCCTTCACAAATTTAATATAATGGCACACGTTTTACAAATGATCATTTACTTTCCTGATCTTACATCCAAAACAAGCAAATTCCAATAAATTACACGGCTCGCGTTCTTCCCAGCTATATTCACCACCGATCCCACCCAACAATCGCATAAATCCATCGTGCTCGATTCCTCTTCGTTACATTAACGCGGCAAAAGATCGTCTCGTAAATAAATAAGGGCGAAAGCGGAGTCCCTTTTTCCGGGTATTAAAAATGCACTTTACCCGATGAATCTTCCGGCTTGCAAAGTTAACACACACATACACACACACACACACACACATATATACACGCGATACTTTTACGTGTCACGCCTTATACACTTGCGTACATTGCATACAGGGCGGTGCACAAGCATTCTAAGATCCCCGTGCACGCAACCGCCGTTCGGACGGTTTGGTAAACAAGCTGGCTGGTTCCCGACGCTGTAAACGTTCCGAGAAAACATTGATGCAGTGCCGGAAGCTCGGCGAGGAATCTTCCTGTTGGCGAGAACAACGCCGCAAACATGTAAATCACGCGACGAAGCTTTTGGGATAGAATAGAGGTTTTCCGATTTCTCTTTTTTTTTTTTTTGTTCTCTGCGGGTTTGAAAGAATTTTCAGGAGATCACTTTGAGAAATTAGGGGAGAAATTAGCCCGGAGATACGAGTATTTCTTAACGATTTAATTTTTTGTGAATTTGTAAATTTTTAAATATTTTTCAATATTTCGAATATTTCTCGATGTTTTTTAATTATAATTTTTGCGCGGGTTATAGATGAAGTGTTTACGATCCGTAATTAGTTTCTCAACTAGTTTCGTTTGTGAAACGCGGGAAACACTAATTTGAAACGAACGAGGCGATAGATTCTTCCGAATATTAATTCCTTCTTCCGGGGCAAAGTTAGGAGGTTGTAACGTGTGTTATCGCGTTGCTAGTATCAACTATTCAGGGGCTTAGATCCGGAACTAGTAACCCGATTCAATCCAAAGTTTCAATGAGTTGCGGGTTTCGATTAAGAACTCAAGAGAGAGAGAGAGAGAGAGAGAGAGAGAAAGGGAGAGAGGGAGAAAGAGAAAAAAATGTTGCACGATTTTATATATAATAATTGTCTGTCTGCGATATAAAAACTGCAGATGAAGGAAAATCTTACAGGATATACTATTTTTGCTTCTGAATAATTAATTTGATTACAGATAAATTATAAATATAATTGAATCAAGATTAAAAATTATTTTTTAAAGTTAATCTAACCTAACTTAACTAAAAAATATATAATTCTATTATTTTTAAGTGTATCATTCTGCTTTCAAGCGCGTGTACGTAATAATATATGATGCATCACCCAAAAGCATTTAATTTCGCTTCATAAAATTTTACGCTATCTTTTATCACTTACTAGTTACTTTGCTAGTTGGTTTAGTTGCATACAACATTCTGTATACAACTGGGATAATGCAACGACCAGAATGATTGATCGACTCGTATAAAGTGATAAAGGAAACAGTCATTAGGTTGAAGATATACCGAGTAAACTATTATTTGTAAGGAGTTCGAGTTCTATTGCACAAGTATCGTACTCGGAGATTGATTTATGTATCGTTCGCTTTGGCGAACTTTCAAATTGTAATCCTTAAGCTAACCTAACCTGTATCAGGATCCATGTTGAAGTCAACGGGTAACAATCCGTCCATTTTTCTCCACGCCGATTCAACCGGTCCAACTTCCAGCACGTAATTAAACAATTCCATCAACCTTGTAGCCATTTTCTAAGCGCTCTTGGATAATTGCACTCTGTTCCGCGACGCGACAATAGCTTGACAAATTCGTAACTCACCCAACCGGACAATCTAACCTACACTCAATGTACAACTCAATCTACATCTGCACTCCGTATACAATTCTATTGCACACCGTGCATCGTATTTATTCGCGTCGACGCACATCGTGGAAACGGTGAAAAGACACGTGCTTCGTGTCACGCTCGAAATTGCGTAGAATTTGCTAACGACAAGCGTCAAGGATGCGTTCGGAATATTCGCCGCGAAGGCGAAATAATGGGATTAGCGGGATCGTAATGGCGGCCGACCATGCGCGAGAATGTATGCGCGAGCGTACGTATTCGTATTCGATGGGAAAATTGAATTCGTTGGAATCGCATGTTCGAGCGCGATTCGATTTATTTTAATCGCGTTGTTACGTACAAATGGAACAACGTTCTAATACCAGATACTTACACTGGCGCGAAAAATAAAATTTCGAGTTGTGATCCCGTTTGTAATACTTAAATTGCATATTATTGTTCAATTCTTCCAAAAAAAACAAGTGATTCGCTTACTTAAATACGTATAAAAATAATATATATATATTCATAATAAATTCCATCAAATACTTGTAACATTATCATATTCTCTATTTTATAATTTTGAAATTGATTAACATAACTTCAAGTTTTAAATAGTTTTAAACTAATGAATGATCTATCGTTTTCCCATTTTTCAATCTTTCGAAAATGGCAAACTTTTCCAAATCTCACGATTTAGAAAAATGTTTCGCAGCGGAATGTATTTCATTTTCTCACGTTGTCCCCGTTCCATGTTAAACGCGGTTGAAACGCAAAATGGACAATCAACAGTGGGTGGACAGTGGCGGAGGACATTTTGGTCGAAGGCGTTTAATGGGGGCCGCGTTCGCGGGCTAACCGCGACAGTTAGCGAAAATAATCACCGCGGCCAACCGGAACGTCGCTCGACCGGTATCACCTATGGGATTCAGGTCCATTTTTAACGCAAGGCGCCACCGGTGAAACCGCGAATATCGAGGCCGTCCGCGAAATGGGCGAATAAAAGCACCGCTACAAGAACTTTTGCGGTCGCCGAGGCGAAAAATGTAAAATTTTGCCTGTGGTAAGGACAATGAAGAAGATTTTGGCCACTTCTATGTTAATTAAGAAGAAAAACTGGAAATTTTTGTCACAGAGACGAGAATTATTAAAAGAATTATTAAATTGCTTGATATTTAAAGTGGAGAAATTTCTCTTCTGTTCTGTTCTGTTCTGAAAAAAAATTTAATTGCCGGTAATGTAAATTGACTGAAGTAAACTATAAAATATAACAAGCATTGGAATGTTGAAAATAGGAAATTTTTTAATTAATCCTTTTTCCATCCTTCTCCCATGATCAATTCGATATATTGCGATAAATGTAAAAACATAGTAGTATACCTGCGAACAATTTTATCCCACGATATATTGAAATTTTATTTCCGTTTATTTTCAACTATTTTTCCCTTCAATAAAAGAATTTCCAAATGTATCTACGTATTTATCTTTCCATTATATCGATGTTTTTGCATTTCTACTATCTGAAAGGATGCATTAAGTTATAATAATGATGACGATAAATTGCTCCATAAATTGTTTTTAATTTTGCAAAATATAATGCATTTCTTGAATGGTTATTAATTGTGTTCTCTCTCTCTTTCTTTTTTTTTTTAAATTTTAAATTTATTTCCATAATTCGATCCATTGTGAAACGCAATAATTCTAAACTCATAATTCGATGATTATATTTTATGATATATACATCGCGCTTTTCGTTTCTATATTGAACTTTATTCACGGATATTTAGACAACGCGAAAACAAATCGGTTCAATCGATACCGTTAAAATTTAACGATTCTCCATGAATTATCTTCGAATTATCCAGAATTCTACTCGGACAATCGTCATAATTAATCGGTCAACTCTCGATTTCTCTCGTTTTATAAATATTTTCCCAACGTGTACGGAATACAGGGAGAGATAAATGCCTCGAAACGAACTATTTTTCACGCGATTTTGACGCGATTCAACAACTGGAAACGGTATTACGATCAATCGTGTAACCGAATAAAATTGCTCCCTTCCCATTCGATGAATCCGCTTGATATCATCTGGACACCGGCCGATTATTAATCGTGATAAAGTGTCGAATCTTCGCGCTTGATGCGGGGTCACGACTCCACGTGGAAGTGGTACACTTTGCTCGAAAATTGCGCGCACGAAAGCTAAACATCGTAATTGGACATCGTTAATAACCCATCTCCCAAGCCAATGATAATGCGCCACGCTCCCCAAAAATGATAAATTTCGGATGAAATAATGCGATTTCCTTCTTATCCGATCGGTACCCTGTTGTTTTTCCATCCAGCTTTTCCAGATTGAAAAAATTTTTGATTCGAACAAGGTCCCAAATTTCCCAAACTCTCGAAAAATTTTAAACCTTCGATCTTTTCTCAGATTCGTTCGACCTGAAAAGGATTCGTTGATCGGTTTAAAATTAAGCTTGCATAAACAATGGAACTCGCGGGATCCTCTTACTAGCCCAAAGGAAAGTGATGAAAACATCGTTTTCCTTAACGACGCAAAGGAACGATGTTACGGAAGCGACTTTGGACGAGACACGGCTTTTTAAAGCTTCCAACAACGATTCCACACGTTATAGATTTTCTCTTTTCTTTTTTCTTTTTTTTTTTCTTTTTCCCCTCTCGCCAGACCGTGGTAAAAGGCTTCTCGATGCGACCTGTGAAAGCGCTTAAACTCGATTCTCTTCTGTCAGCAGGGGACGTTGCTCGTAAAGAGGTTCCCCGCATAGTCGTTTTCCTGACCCCCCTCTCCACAACCCTTAATGGCACTCGTAATTCCGATATGCCTTCTCGTCGAGGAAAAAACCGGAAGCAGTAGACTCGGGGGAACAATCGTAAATATATTCCAATTTTCGTTTTCATTCATCTCGTCGAAACCAACCGTTTCTATTGTTTAACCTGAAAAGAAAAATTAATTAATTCCACGAAGCGATTGAAAAAAAAAATTATAAAAAGATATAAGAAAATTGAAGGAATTAGAGAGGAGCTTAAAAAAAAAAAAAAAGAACTAGCGGAGACTCTATTAAACTCTGGATTCAATTAAAATTGCCTGTGATAAGAATAATTGCAAGTAATTTTTTTTTACCCGCCACTTAAAAAGAAAGGGAGAGGGGAGAGAAAGAAAAAGAGAGAGAGAGAGAGAGAGAAAGAGAAATAAAATTTCAACGAAGAGTGCAACGGATACAAAGGCCAGGCGAAACAGCGGTTTAATTACCAAAGTGGGAGATTTTTCGAAATTTCTCCCTCGTCCAACGATCCCTCCCCTGGGCAAATTGCCCTTTAAACGACTCTCTAATTACGCTTCTTGGCAGGGCGAGGGTGTAATCGTTACATTCTCCCCTCGGGAGAACTTTTCGACTTATCGATAAACTTCTTCTCGGTTACTCGGCATACTTTTATCGTGGAGCACGTGCACGACGCGACGACAATTGAGAACTTTAAAGACTACTCCGTTTTCGAGTTGTTGCGTTGCGCGATATATGATGTAGAAACATTTTAAAGATATTATTCTTATAGTTTGATGGAAATTGATGACTGTGGAAAATTCGAATTTATTTCTTTCATATTCTTATTCGATTGATAAGCAGCTTCGAACTTTAAAAATTGGTAAAAAATAGAAATAAAGATTTTGCATTCAAAGATTCAATGATTATGTGTAAATGTGTGTGTATATATAAAATGTTACGTTCAAATTCGATCAACTCGAATATATCGCTAAATATTGGACGATATCGAAAAATATTTTAGACAAAAATTGAATGATTTTCTTTTTCATTTCTGCCAGGAAGAAAGCATTGTGTATTTTTTAATCGATACATTCTCTTTTCAAGTCCAAACAAGTAATTTTATATTATTTGTGAAAAGAAAAAAGAAAAATATTGGAGTTATTCGTTAAAAATTGGACGATTCTTCAATTCTATCTCGATTCGTCGAAGATGCGCGATAAGAAATTTCCCTTTCAATGTCTGTCTCTTTCCTCTCGCGTGTTTCGAGGGACGATGTTTACCATTGAAATTGCAAAATTTGAATGTGAAAGCTATTCAAAGAATGGCGAATGGAAGAATAATAAAGATGGGTGGGCGAGTGTGGTATTGTTGTTTGGAAGCTTTTTTGTGATTTCTTTTTTTCTTTTTTTTTTTTTTTTTCTTCTGACTGGTTCACGTTGTTCGTGGAATTTAGAAGAAGAGATAATACGAATTGGAAGTATGAGAAAAATCGCATAATCGAATCTTTATTGGCATTCTTATATTTGAGATTTTTTGAGATACGATTAAGTTTGTAAGAATAAGATTTTTTCTTTTTCTTTTTGCAATTATTTAGACGAATCATTGGAGGATTTATAATTATTCGAAACAATTCGAAATAATTAACAGGAAAGAAAATTCAATTGCAAAAAATGGATAATGCATTTTTGTAAACGGTTCCTTTCTGTCGGCTTTTCAATTGACCTCTTTTTCCATTTTATCGTACCATTTTAGGTTTAGAGGTTTATTTTATTATTGTTTGTTACTTCGGTTTGCAGATTCGTTATATTACTCGTATTGATATGAATTCGTGGAAAAACACAGCGATATCACAATATTTATACGAGTACAATACTCGATATCAGTAATAAAAAAAATATAATATTTTTCGCGTGCTATTTTTCGTCCTTCAGAAAAACTTCAATTATTGTTTCATTCATTTACATAGAATCGATAAAAATTTATCGATCTTCCATACTATTATATCTTCTAATAATTCCCCTTATTTATTCCCTAATATATAACTAATTTTTTTTATTAAACTATGTATCAACAATTTGAACAATTACACGCAATAATATATTATTCATTGACCCTCATAAAATGAATTTCTTCTTCACAATTCATTCACAGAGATTTCTCTATAAATTTCGATAAAACTTTCCCACTAAATTCAACCAATCACCAATCAAATTAAAATCTCAAATTTTTCATTTGAAACTACCAATTCCAAAAAAAAAAAAAAGAAAAAAAAAAGAAAAATCAAATTACATCATTTAATAAACTTGGAAACAACGCTCTCTCCAAAAACACCATTTTAAACTCGCCACCCCT